ATGCAGGAGAAGAAAACTCAGTACATGAACCTCATCTTCACTCCCTTCTCTTTCTTCCCATCCTCAGAAAGTAAAACAAAATAAAAATATACTTACCTTTATTTATTTAATTCTCTTGAGTGTGTGTCTGGTGTCTAGGCATAAAAGATTCTCATTTATTCCACAATCAGGATTTTGATGATGTATAAGATACTGTTATGCACTGTGAATCAAATCAAACCCATTGCCATTGAGTTGATTCTGACTCATAGCCACCCTATAGGACAGAGTAGAATTGCCCCATAGGGTTTCCAAGGAGTGGCTGGTGGATTCAAACTGCTGACCTTTTGGTTAGCAGCCCAACGCCACGGCGCCACCAGGGCTCCATGCACTGTGAAGGATATGGGAATGTTTTTTCTCTTCTAATTTAAGCATCTGGGAGCCAAGAGCTGGGATATGGGCAGCCAGATAAACACGATACTTGTATCCCCAAGTGAACTGAGGAGTGTTTGAGCAGGTAGAATTCAGATCTGGCTTTGTCAGGGTGTGTTATGGATTGAATTGTGTCCCCCCCAAATATGCGTTGTAAACCCTGTGGTTATAATCCCATTTGTGAATGTGTTGTATTTGTTATGCTAATGAGTCAGAATTAGGTTATATATACTATGCTAATAAGGCAGGATTAGTTTAGGGTGCATCTTGAGTCAATCTCTTTTGTGATATAAAAGAGTTTCAACAAGCAAGCAAGAGAAGCAGAGATGGGAGAAGAGAGATGCCAAGCCACATGAAGATCTTCCAGGAGCAGAAGCTCAAAGAGACAAGGACCTTCCTCCATAGCCGACAGAGACAGAAAGCCTTCCACTAGAGCTGGAACCTTGAATTCAGACTTCTAGTGTCTGAAACTGGGAGAAAATAAATTTCTGTTTGTTAAACCCACCCACTTGTGGCATTTCTGTTATAGCAGCACTAGATAATTATGCCAAGTTGTAGGAGAGGAGTGATTCCATAGACATAGTTTTTTTTTTTTTTTGGTAACCCTTGACTGTATGATGTGTTAGCTTCTCACATCAGAGGAAGCCCCTTTGAGACACAGCCAAAGCCCCTGTCCTGAACTCCACCTGCCTCCATTCCCATCACAGGTTACCAGAGTGCTTCCTGAGTGTCAGGCTCTAGATCAAGTGCACTTCTTGTGTATTCTTATTTACTCTTCAAAATGATCCTATAAGTGGTTGTTACACTCCGTTTTGCACATGAGGAAACTGAGGCTTAGTATCATGAAGTAACTTGCTCAAGGGCACAAAGCTAGTGCCTAGCAGTGCAGGATCGCCATGCAGCAGGCTGGAACTCAGGGCTCCCACCTTTGCAGCCCACGCCCAGGCACACGGCCCCACCGTTGTGAGACTCCACGAGATGCCCTGGGAGTATGAAAGCTGCAATTCCATCTCCCTTCTCAGAACACTGGGCGAGTCATCACTTGTCTGAAACGCCTCTAGAGAATGACAACATGAATACTTGCCTTATCTCCTGACAGGCTTGTTGGGAGGCTGGGATGGAAAAGGGAAAAATAGGCCTGGGAACACAAGTGTTCTGTGTATTTAAAACAGTATTATTGTTCTTACTGGGAGGGCAACGGGGTGGAGCGGCAGGAATGCTGGAGTAGGGACTGTTATCTGGGGGATGTTGAGAAGGTCACTTGCCCTTCCTGGCCTCGGCTTCCTTGTCTGTAGAATGAAGATATTGGACTAGATAATGTCTAATAGACTCTTTCAAGCCTAAAGTTTAACAATGATAATGATGATGATGACAGCAATGATGATGGATGATGATGATGATGGTGATGATGATGCTAGTGGCAGTAGAGGAAGGTGACCTCAGAATCATTCCCTGTCATCACCACCACTGCCGATCCTCCTCACCTCCCCACTGTGTTAAAGGCCTCTGGGGTGGGCTGGTAATGAGACAGAAAGGAGAATTTGGTTTCAAGATGTTGGAGGATAGCACACTTATCTCAGTGCCTGGTACATAGTAAGCTAGTACTTAATACCAGTTAATAGTTGCTGTGGTCCAGTGGTTAAGAGCTATGGCTGCTAACCAAAAGGTCAGCAGTTTGAACCCACCAGCTGCTCCTTGGAAACCCACAGGGCAGTTCTACTGTGCCCTATAGGGTCACTATGGGTTGGAATCAACTCGACGGCAAGGGGTTTAATGGGTTTGATTTTTACGGTTATCTCCAACTTACAGAGTAAGAAGTTGAGGCTCAGAGAAGAGAATAACTTGCTCAAGGTAATATGGCTGGTATATGACAGCATCAGGATTCCATCCAGGTTTGCTGGACTCCAAAGCCCATGCTGCTGACTGCACAGGTCAGTTTGGTCAATGAGAAAACTCAGGTTCAGAGAACTATGGGTGACAAACGCAAGACTGCAGTTATAGCTGTTAAGTGGTTGGGCTGAGGCTCAAATTAATCTTGGCTATTAATTATGTCCTTATCCCATCCTACTGTGCCCGTTCAGGCTAAACAAATCAATATAATCAGAATCAGTGGGCTCAGGGGAATGGTGCCTGGGCCCAGCCTCAGGCTGAACTTTGAGGCTCAGCAACTCTGTATCCAGATGCTCCCTTCACCTTTTGACCCAGGGCATAGCGAAGAGGATCCGTGCAGGCAGAGGGGAGTTATCTCAGCCAGAAGGAGAGTAAGGGGTACCTGGGACCCCATCTTGTCTTTTCCAAAGCATCCATCTTCCTGGGAGTGAATAAGGCACCGACTACATGCTCAGCTGCTATAGGAAGCTGCGGGTGGCTGTTATGGGTTGGATTGTGTCCCCTCAGAAGGATATGTTGAAGTTCTAATCCCTGTATTTGAGAATGTGACCCTGTTTGTAAACAGGATCTCTGAGGATGCTATCAGCTGGGTTAACATGAGGTCATACCGCGGAGGGTAGGTCTTAATCCTATAAGCCTGGTGTCCTTAGAAGAGAGAAGAGACACAGACGGAGGAAGGCACAGCAGCACAAGCTGAGGGACACCTGGAGCTACCAGAAGCTGGGAGAGAGGCCTGGAGAAGATTCTCCCACAAGCCTCAGAAGGACTCACCACAGCCAACACTCTGGTCTCAGTCTCGCAGACCCCAGAACTGTGCAACAATACACTGTTGCTTGTATAAGCCACCCAAACCATAAACAAAATAAAACAAGAAACAAACTTGTTGCCGTCGAGTTGATCCTGACTTATAGTGACCCTATAGGACAGAGTAGAACCACCCCATGAGGGCTTCCAAGGAGCAGCTGGTGGATCTGAACTGCTGACCTTTTGGTTAGCGGCCAAACTCTTAACCACTGTGCCGCCAGGGCTCCAGTGTGTGGTATTACGTTCTGATAGCCTAGGACACAGCCCATAAAAGGAGTGGCATCAAAGACCAGGGCTGCTCAGTAGACTGGCCGGGGCGTCTGGGGTCTCAGGGATCCAGCCTCCACTCTGCCCTGGACAACCACAGTCAGAGCGCTTGGTCTATCTGCACCCCAGTTTCCCCGCCTGTCACTTTAGGGACAAAATAGGAACCGAATTTCACAGAATTATGAGTTCCTAGTCAGAAAATGTGCTATAGTTATCAACTGGATCTTTATTTTTAAATGCTTATGGAAGCTGATCATTTACCGGGAAATTAAGCTGGATTTTCACCTTTTCTATTTGGGGCAAGGAGGCTACACTTTTACATTCTTTACTTGCCTTTTAAAAAAATGTATTTACTTTATTGTGCTTTAGGTGAAAAGTTACAGAGCAAATTAGTTTCTCATTAAACAGTTAATACACACTTTTTTTTGTGACATTGGTTGCCAGCCCTGTGATGTGTCAACACTCTCCCCTTCTCCACCCCAGGTTCCCCACTTCCATTTGTCTAGTTTTCCTGTCCCTTCCCGCCTTCTCGTCCATGCTTTTGGGCTGGTGTGCCCATTTGGTCTCCTATACATGACTGAACTACGAAGCACCTCACATGCATTATTGTTTGTCCTATAGACCTGTCTAATCTTTGGCTTAAAGGTGAACCTTGGGAGTTACTTCAGTACTGAGTTAAAAGGGTGTCCAAGGGCCATACTCTTGGGGTTTCTCCAGTCTCTACAAGACCAGCAAATCTGGTCTTTTTTTGTGTGTGTGATTTTGAATCTTGTTCTACATTTTTCTCCTGCTCTGTCTGGGACTCTCTATTGTGATCCTTGTCAGAGTAGTTGGTGGTGGTAGCCCGGGACTAATTAGTTGTTCTGGGCTCAGTCTAGCAGAGATTGTGGTAGTTGCAGTCCATTCTTTACTTTCTTTATATGTAAAATAGTGCAGGCAAGAATCTAAAACCACCCTCTGCAAATGCTCAGCTGCTAACCGAAAGGTTGGATGTTTGAGTTCACCCAGAGATGCCTCGGAAGAAAAGCCTGGTGATCTACTTCCAAAAAATCAGCCACTGAAACTCTATGCAGCACGGTTCTCCTCTGACAGGCGTGGGGTCGCCATGAGTCAGAATCGCCTAAACAGCAAGTGGTTTGGTTTTTTTCCTTTGCAAAGGAAACGGGCCACTATAATAAACACGGCAGAGCCGAAACTCAAGTGCTTGGGAGAATTTATTTCTCACAACATTTCCCACCATTCTCAGGGGGGTGTCCCATGGCAATGTGCATCAGGAGGGCCTCATTCTTCTGTCTTCGGTGTAAGAAGAACAATTTGTACGCAGGAAATGAGTCAAACCAGGTGGAGTCTGAGCATCGTCTTCCAATGGAGCAGGTAAAACGGTTGGCGCTTCAGAGAAACACTGAAGAATGGCCTTACTTCCCTTTGCTCGTTGTAAAGACAAGCCAATCACGCTTCTGGGAAACAATGAAACCCCTGAAAAGCAGAGCTTCTGGGCAGCTCCTCTAGCAACAGGGGAGACAGGAAGACGAGGTGTCCATCCTCTTGCACACCTCACTGCTCTTTCTCTTTTCAGCCTGAGCTCACGGGAGCCTTTGCTACGATGACAGCAGCAGGGAAGAGGGGACCAATGGGCGGCCTCCAAACTCTCCCTGGGTGGTCTCTGGGCCCCTGGGTCTTGGGACTCCTTGGGAAGAAGCCACGCCCAGGTGTCTGCTCTTACCTGGCCTCCCACATCCCGGCTCTTGGCCCTCAGCTTGTTGACCTGGGACTCGGCAATGTCGGCCCTCTCCTCTGCCTCCTCCAGCTTGTGCTGGACTCTGCGGCACATGGACAGCTGCGTGTTGGCCTGCTCCTCCCGGAATGGAAGGTGGAGGGGTATGAGGCTGATGAAATGTCTCACTCTCATTTCAAGGCTCCCCGTCCCTGGGGCCCCCCTGAGGAGTAGGGGAAGCAGGAGAGCTAGGCCTTGGGTGGCCTGATGGCAGAGGAGGGAAGGCAGGACCAAGCTCTCCAGAGTGTAAAGACACCGCCCTTGGGTTATCACCATGGATACTGCCCCAAGCTCACCTCGCTGGTGTGGCCACCCATCCTGTGACTACCTGATGCTCCCGTGAACCCTCCTCTAGGTTGTGTGCCCCAGAGAGCTCCTTTGGAGGAGATCCAGGTTTAGACTTCTCCCGAAGAACCTGGAGGTGCGTCCTCAATAGCCAAGTCCTCCTTGTCTTGTGTCTCCTCCTAGTGCCACGTGTCTGTGGCAAGACCATTGTAGAGGTCTATCTGAGGGTGACCCAAGGGTTCCCGATTAACGCGGCCTCCTGGGTGCCCCCCAGGCTGGCCAATCTTGTTGGGACTGTACTGATCCAACGGGCACCAATCCTTCCCCCATTTAACCCTGAGGTCAGGACGGGACTGACCAGCCATCTGGGTAGGGAGGAAAGAGGGCAGGGAGAGGCACCCTGTGCCCAGCCATTGTCTAGGGCAGAGGAACACTAGTCTGTGGGGTGCCCTGTGGAACACGAAAAGGCTCTAGGGTCGATTGAGTGTGGAAGATGAGACACTCTACAACGCCTCTGCCACTTTGGAGAGCTGAGCTACAAAATCTGAGAAATCTTGGAAGTAAAGCAACCAGTTTAATTCTGTTTAACCCAGAGTTTCCCAAACTAAATTTTTTTTTTATTTTGTAGAAAAAGGTCTCCCAACACTAGCTTCCTCCTGTTACCGTCTGTCAGACCCCGTATTCCCAGAAGATACAGGATTCAGCCCCTTGCGTTTCTCCTGTGTCAATCTCGCCTATTATAGACCAAGGGGCAGACTGAAAAGGAGGGAATGCAGTGGTGGGAGTTAGGAGGGCTGAGGGAGGACAGAGGGGCAGAGACTAGGACAGTGGGCGCAGTGGGATGACGTGAATTAGGACGAGGTGTCCACCGTTAGGCCAAGTGGGCAGGGAGGGCTGGTGAGGTGGGCTGAGGTGATTAGGCAGAGTCATGGGAGGTGGGGCTGGCAGGGTGGGCTGTGATGGCTTGGATGGGTAGAATGAGTCAGGGTGGGGTGGGATCAAGTGAGGCAGGCTGAGATTAAGCAAAGGGGATTGAGGGGGCAATGCCAAGCGAGGTGAGGCAAGAGGGCACCGAGGTAGGGGCTGGGGAAGGTTGGTCTAACACAGACCAGGGGAGGGAAGAGGCAGGTCTGTCTGTGTTGACAGCCTGCAAATGAAGGTGCAGGTCTGAGACCCCGTGGACTTGACTCAGCAGGAATGTGCGCCCAATCAGGGCTAGTGGATGAGGCTGGTGAGGGCACAGCCCCATGAGGGGTATCCCTGGGACCTCTGTACTCACGGCCTCCTCCGCCTGCCTCTTGTAAGCTTTCACTTTGGCCTGCAGCTTGTCCACCAGGTCCTGGAGCCTGAGGATGTTCTTGCGGTCTTCCTCGGCCTGCAAACAGAGCATGCCAACACTACCTTGCAGACCCATTCCTCCTTCTGATGGGTCTGACCGATAGCATTCACGAGGTTTGTGAGCTATCCACCTGGTAAGTCATTTCCTTGACCTTCCTTTCATATTTGTGGGCCCCCTTGAGAGCTTCAGCCCCCCTCTTCTGCTCACTTTCCAGCTCCCGCACCTGGGTATGGTGATCAGGACACAGATTCAAGTCAGGTTTCCCAGGCGTCTCTCACGTTCCTATGTGCTGGTCATTTCAGGGTGAACTCAAGATTCGCTAATGATATTCTGCAAAGGTGTCTCCTCCTAGGGCTCAGGAATCAAACTGTTGTTCACACGGCCACCATTAGCCTACAGAGCGACCGTGCAACAACAAGACGCCCTCCTGGGCAGCTGCAGCCCCAGCTGCACGCCGCTTGGCTGTCGGGTCAAGCTTTGAAAAACACGTCCCGTCCTCCAGAGTCATGCAGCTTGATGAGGGGGTACAGGCTGGATGTCAGCCCCTACTTGCCCCTGCAGGCAAAACCTGCAGGACGGTTTGTTGTGGACTTGATTTCCGGCACAGCAAGGTGGCAGGGACTGTGGAGAAAGCCCGGGGCCAGGAATAGGCAAAGGAGGGATGGAGCCAGGCTCCATCATTTATTGGCCAACAGAGCCAAAGCAAGTCAGCTGCTGCCACTGAGCGTGACTATCTGTGGGTTTGGAATGGAGATTATTATTGATAATGGAGGAATGATTGTAATTCCTGCCCAATCTACTCTAATGTGGAGCTCAAAGTAGATAATGTATGTGGAAGTATTTTAAAACAATAAATCACTGCATAGGGGCTGTTAACTTCAGAGGCCCTTCTGCCTTTCCTGGAGTCTTGAAGGAAGAGATACAAGTTGCCGTCAAGCTGACTCTGACTCATAGCAACCCCATGTGTGTCAGTGAAACTCTGCTCCATAGGGTTCTCAGTGGCTGATTTTTTTGGAAGTAGATTGCCAGGTCTTTCTTCCAAGGTGCTTCTGGGTGGACTCGAACCTCCAACCTTTTGGTTAGCAGCTGAACGTGCTAACCATTTGCACCCCTTAGGGATCCGAGGGGAGAGGTGGCACTGAGGTCACCGATTGTGGTCCCAACTCCACAATCTAGACAGAACAAAGCAGGGGCCACCAGCAACAGTCCCCACTCCACTGGGAATTCCAGCTGACACAGAGGGAGAGGCTCTGGGCTTGGAGATGGGCTAGATCAACTTTACGATTTACTAGTGGACGAAGACTACTCTGGCCATCGTTCTAAAACAGGTCCCCCATGTCCTGGGACGCTGTCTTCCAGCAGGTTCTACAAAAGATTATTTTCCTGGGAATGCTTTTCAGGCCTCTGTAGGACTTAGGGAACTTCTCCAACTGAGCCGCTGGGGATGGATGGACAGCCAAGCTTCCTCAGGGTGAGAGAGGGAGGTTGGCTGAGGGCTCCCTGCTGACCCAGGAATCAAAGAATCATGGAGGGCTGGCATGGGACATAAACCAAGAGACACCTAAAGTGGGAGAAGGAGAGGCCTAAGCTCATTTTAACGGAATAGGGCTGGGAATAATTAAAAATAATCACTTAAATAATTTTTTGGGAAGCTTCGACTTCCCTGGTGCTTCCTTTTACTCCCCACTTGTCTATGGCCTTGACATTTAAAGGCTCTGTGTGCCTGGCCACCATGTTCTCGGTAGGCTGGTATAAATCAGAACTGCATGTTGGGGCTTGCCTGCTGGAAAACACTGCTTCCTTCTCTTCACCTCCTCCTTGCCCTCCCCACCTCCCACTCTTTCACTTCCTTTCTCCTGGGACAACAGAGGCATTCTAACAACTTCCTCCACATGGTCCTTCTCAAAAACGTCAACTGCGAGCGGAAGGCTGTTTTACAAACAAATGAAATAAACCACCATAGGTCTAAAGGGAAAAGCAAAGGGTACAAGAAACGAAGGGAACAATCAGCAAAGACACAGAACAACAGCAACGAAATACTTAGGCTCCAGGGGAAGAAAAAGCAGGGCTGTCCAGCACATGCGGATTGAAATTTTTGGGGGCACTGACTTGGAGGAGGAGTCCCTGGGTGTTGCAAACGGTTAATGCGCTCAGCAGCTAACTGAAAGGTTGGAGGTTTGACTCCACCCAGAGGCACTTTGGAAGAAAGGCCTGGAAATCTACTTCTAAAAATCAGTCATCAAAAACCCTATGAAGCACTGTTCTTCTCTGATGCTCATGGGTTGCCATGAGTTGGAACTGACTCCATGGCAACGGGTTTTTTTAACTTAGAGGAAGAAGCACCAATCACTCTCCATTCAGGAAGGAATGAGAAATCGTCGGATGCGTTTAGACATTAGAAAAGCTGGGAAGGAAATGAGACCCAAGAGTGGGAGATAAATGGAATCTACAGATTTGATGTCGGCTGGGCCATTGTTTATCAAAGTGAAGGTTGGTTCAAAATGTAAATTACACCAAAGTGTGCATTGTGAAGTGCACTACTGTAAAGTACATTTTTGCATTTGTGTAGATATGAATCTATATAAAAACCGTATTTGAACGTTAAAAAAAAGTAACTATAATGCTGTTTTAGGCATAAGCATCCCAAAATGGATTTGTGTGTGTTGGGGGTTCTCTCTGGGTGATAACAAGCTTGGCTCCTAAAGGCTGGCAGTTCAAGTCCACCCAGAGATACCGCAGAAGAAAAGCCTAGTGATCTACTTCCAAAAAATCAGCTGTTGAAAACCTTCTGGAGCATAGTTCTTCCCTGACACACATGGAGTCACTATGAGTTGGAATTGATTTGATGGCAACTGTTTTCTTTGGTTGGGGGCTAGAGGTCAGTGAAGGAGAAACAGGTGGGAGATTTGGTTCACAGGGTGTTTTGCAAGTAGTCCTGAAACTAACTTTGCAATCTACTCAATCAAAGGCCACATTCCTACAACCTAAATTTCTGGATTATGGTTCTGCTGAGGAGGTCGAATCAGACGTCCCTTCTAGAGAGTCCTCACAAACCACCCTACCCGGTTCCCCAGTTTCTGCATCTGCTTCTTGCCCCCCTTCAGGGCCAGCTGCTCAGCCTCATCCAGACGGTGCTGCAGGTCCTTCACCGTCTGCTCCAGGTTCTTCTTCATCGTCTCCAGGTGGGCGCTGGTGTCCTGCTCCTTCTTCAGCTCCTCTGCCATCATGGCTGCCTGGTTAAGGTCACAGGAAACATCATGGGGCCATCCAGCCCATCCTTACCCCAAGGACACAGAAGCTGCTGTTAAGGTCTAGAATGTTGTTGTGTTGTCGTATGCTATCAAGTCGATTCATAGGGTGGCAATTATTGGTATTGTGTGTGCCTGACTCAAGTCACCAACCCACCATTCATCATTCATCACTTTCAGCATTTCTTCTCACTTCATTTCCACTAGGACTTCCTGGGTGGCTCAAGCAGTTAAGCACTTGACTATTAACTGAAAGGTTGGTGGTTCGAATCCACCCTGAGGTGCCTTAGAAGAAAGTCCTGGCAATCTGTTCTGAAAGGCCCCAACTTTGAACACCCTGTGGAACACAGTTCTGCTCTACACATATTAGAATCGACTTGACAGCAACTGGTTTGATTTTCTTTTTTCTTTCAGCTTCACTGAGAACCCATTCATTATATCTCTCCAGGAAGCCACCATTGACTGACTGTGGGTCATAAGGAAGTGATAACCACTTTCCTTGCCCTAGCTTAGAAGCCCTTTGCATATTGCCACACACTGTCTCTGAAAAGAAAGACTAGTGCTTACATCCGTGATAGCCTTCTTGGCCTTCTCCTCCGCATTCTGGACTCCTGGATAGAGTTTTCCACTTCTGCCTGGCATTGAGCTATGTCAGCTTCCAGTTTTTTCTTGATATTTATCAGACTTGTGTTCTAGCAAGGAAAATTAGGTCTCAGGGTTGTAGGTTATATTTAGGCAGTGGGTGGGGAAGGAAGTCAATCATGATCTCGTCCCATTTCTCGGTTTTGACATGGGTGGCCTGCTAGATACTGTCTCATTCTTGACATAATGGGAAGTCCTTCAACAGACCCAAGAACTGTACCTAAATAATAATAGAGGTAGAATTTCAAATATTTGAAGAAGGACAGATTATTGGGAAAAGGAAAAGATTAATAGACATGACTATATAAAAATGAAAAATAATTCTAATTATCAAAAATACTATAAATGAAATTGTAAGGGGATAACAAATGGGAAAACATTTGCAGTGTGTATTACTGAAAAGATGTTATCTTCCTTAATATATAATAATTAAGACAAATCAATAAGAAAAAAGGGCAAAAAATACGAACAGGTAAAACACACTCGAAGAAATACAAATGACCAACAAATATGACAAAATGTCCCACCTCATTAGTAATTGAAGAAATAAGAATAAACCAATGAGTTTTTTTTAACAACTAAATTGGTAAAAATTTAAAAAATAATAGTCTGGGTCTTTGAAAATTTATAGAAAACATTCTCATGTATTTTCCCAATGGGAACAAAAGCTAGGACAACTTCGTTAAAGAGCAATTTGCAATATATTACAAATGTCTTCACTCTTTTGATCCTGAAATTTTACTTCTAGGAATTCATTTACTTCTAGGAATATTAAGGAAATCATAATCATGGGTGTATGTGAAAATTTAGTTAAAAGTAAGTTCATCAAAGCATTCTTTCTAATATTTTTTCTGGTAAGAATTTTTATTGGGAACAACCTATAATAATCAACCATAGAGAACTGATAAAATCAAATTCCCATGGTACCCAGCTGGAATGGACTACTTTTCTGCCATTAAAAACTGTATCATAAGAGACTATTTAAAGATGTAGAAATATGTTCATTATTAAATGAAAATAATAGGTTGCAAAAAGATAGATCATATTTTACAAAAAAATATATTCATACACATAATATGCAAGAAATCGAAACGAGATCCCAAGATGTCAACAATATGGTTGATTTTTTTTCTATTTGTTTGTTTGTATATTTCATTTTTTTTAAAACAATGAACTCTCTTTAAACTTTCATAAAGGTGATAAAAACAATTTTTTCCAAAGAAAATCTAATTTTCTAAGAGAGCACCTCCTCTGTGGAGCCTTCCCCAACCCTTTATGCAATAATTCATCTTTCCTTTCACTCATTTTCCCACAACATGCATGTTTTATCATCTGATAAAAGAAACTTCAGAAATCTGTCCATCTAGAGTCAAAGTCGGAGTGCAAATGGTTACCATGCTTGGCTGCTAATCGAAAGGTTGGAGCTTCCAGTCCACTCAGAAGTGCCTTGGAAGAAAGGCCTGGTGATCTAAATCTGAAAAAGCAGCCACTGGAAACCCTAGGGAATGTAGTTGTACTCTGACACACACAGGGCTGCCATGAGTCGGCGTCAACTCCATGGTAACTGGTGCGAGTCAATGTCACAGTGAGACTTAATGAGATTTTGTCTGGATGGCTGGTCTGGGAGGAAGGGCGGCGCTCCTTTCCACAGCATGCCTGGGGTCCTAGCTGCCCCCAGGGGGCCCCTGGTTGGAGGGAGGCTGGACACACCTGGGAGTGCAGGAGCTGCACCTGGTTGCTGGCGTCCAGCAGCTCCTGCTCTGACAGCCGGCGGGTCCGCTCCGTCTACTCCAGGGTCACCTTTGTCTCCTCTAGCTCCTGCACCAAGAGGCCGTTCCTGCGATCCACAATGGCCAGCTGTTCCTTGAGGTCCTCATTGCTCCTCAGGGCATCATCCAGGTGCAGCTGGGAATCTTTAGGGGAAACCAGGAGTGAGGCCAGAGGCACAGGGCAGCTGGGGGCCAGCTGGTCCAGAGGGCAGCGTTCAGAGGCAGCGCTCACCTTGAGCTGGCCCTGGACTGTGCACAGGTGTTTCTGGGTCTCCGCCACCTGGCGGTTGGCATGGCCCAGCTGCATCTCCATTTCATTGAGGTCCCCCTCCATCTTGTTCTTCCGCCTCAGGGCATCGTTCCAGCTCCGGATTTCGGCCTCCAGCAGGCTCTGCCTGGCCTTAGCTGCTTGCTGGCTGTTTCGTTTCAGCTGCTCAATTTCTTCATCCTTCTCAGTGACCTTCCGTTCAAGCTTGGACTTTACCTGACTCATCTCTAGCTGGACACGCAAGATCTTGCTCTCTTCATGCTCCAAGGAACCCTGAGGAGAGCAATGGAGCAATTGGGAGTGCCATAGGTAGCCGACCTCCTCCAATAGGTATTCTTATCCCCATTATGATACAAAGGGAATTCCTTTACCAATTTTACAGACGAGAACAATGCTCAGAGAGGTCAGATGTCTTGCTCCCAATGTCCCTAAGAGTAATGAAGCTTAGAGTGAAACTTTCTATCTGTTATTAACAAATAATCCTGTTTAAATCAGTGAAAATTTTATTGAGGTTGTCTATTTTTATAATGGTATCCCTGGGTGGTACACTCAGTAATGTGCTCAGCTGCTAGCTGAATGATTGGAGGTCTGAGTCCACCCAGAGGCAACTCCAAAGAAAGGCCTGGCGATCTTCTGAAAAATCAGCCATTGAAAACTCTACGGAGCACAGGTCTACTCTGACACACATGGGATCACCATGAGTTAGAATCTGGTACCTGGTAGGTAACTGGTATTTTAATCATGACCATAAATCAGGAGGCAGCCTATTCTTTAAAAATGACAGGACTCGCTGTATGGATCTAGCAATTGCTCACTGCTATCTTGCCATCTTTTAAATTTCCCTAGAAACATCTCAACCATCTGCCCTGCACTGGCCACAACTGATTAGAATAGGAGAGTCTGGGGTCTACTTTTTTTCTCCAGTTACTGTCGAGTCAATTCTGACCCATGGCAACCCCATGTGTGTCAGAGGAGAACTGAGCTTCACGGGTTTTCAATGGCTATGATCTTTCAGAAGTAGATCGCCAGGACTTTCTTCCAAGGTGCTTAGGGATGGTTTTGAACTACCAACCTTCGGTTAGTAGCTGAGTGCTTAACCATGGACCACCCAGAGACTCTTGGGGTCCATTTTGACTATAGAAAATTCCTAACAGCCAAGCATGATCACTGAATGTAACTGTACGTTAAAGCTGAGGGACCCAGAGCAAGGCTGATAGGATGCTTGGAGATTGATTTGCTTCCTGAGGTCATAATGAAACGCTCTTTTCATTTTCAAAAGAGAAAATATGATGGACTAGAGGAAATGCAGGAGACACAGCTGCAGAGCACAGCTGTTTCAGCACCAGGGACGGTAGATAATTCTTCCCAATGGAGCCCCAGGGCCTGCTGGCTGGAAGGACCCCAAGGGGATGGCCCAGTTCAGCCTCCATCCGTTCCTGTTCTCCTGGCCTTTAAAATGTCCCGTCCCAGACACCTGCCTCCACCTCCTCCGAGGCAACCTGGAGAGCTGACTTTTCTTGCTCCACTTGCTTCTTGGTCTTTTCCACTTCCTGAAGATTCTTGCTAGTTTCTGCAATCTGCTTAGTTAAGTCACAAATCTCTTCTGTAAAGGACAGGCTCGATCTAGGCTGCAGTTTACAGCATAGGCATTTGCCAGGCAATCTGGGGACAGGTGACTCACTCAGGATATTTACATAGGAGAGAGATGAGGTGTTGGCAAGACACAGCTATGCTGCCTCACCTGAACTATGCAGAGAAAGGAGCGACAAGAAGGATACTTTGTGACCTTAAAACCCCACAAGTATTCAAAACAGTCACGGTAAGAACCACAGAAGAAAACTAGAGAAAATGCATAGAATCATAGTCTTCTAGAACCAGAAGGGACTTTGGAGGGCATCGCGTCTGATAGTCTAATTTTGTAGGGCAAGACTGAGGTCCTAAAATGTTGAGTGACATGCCCAAGGACACAAAGCCACTTAGAGCCAGAATCCCCGAAAGGCCTTGTTCTGTAATGTAGCAGTGTGCTTAGCAACAATTGCACCCTCGGTTTTCCAAAAGGAAACCTGGCCGCTCTGCATCAATGTTTTCCACTGAGAGGCTGTGGGGTAACCTGAGAAAACACAAGGCTGGGTGGGTGAGGATTTTGTGGGGCAGTGGGATGCAGGAGGCGTTTGGAGGTGACCGTGGACAAACGGGGACAGGGCCAGGAGGAGGAGGGAAATCTCACAGGCGGCTGGTTGGGAGAGAGCTCACCTTGCAGATTTTTGTTCTCCTGCCTCAGGGTCTCTAACCTATCTACCACCTCCTCGTAGGGATTCCTCAGCTGGAAAATTTCAGTACTGAGGGACCTGGACTGTTTCTGAGCACCTTCCAACTCAGCTTGACTTTTGTCCAGCTTTTGCTTCCACTCTGCAAGGACCTAGGAGTCGATCAAGGGACATGTGGGAAGCAGAAAGACCAAGGTTTCACTCTACCACCCTGGGGACCATAGAAAGAGGGTGGCCCTTGTTTCGCATCAGTGGCTCCAAACTCTGCTATCTGTACGGGTGACCTGTTGTATTCTTAGAGATATTTCTATCTCAAAGGAATTTGAATTCATTTTAACTAAAAATAAGATTCCATTTGGAGGGAATGTTACAGAAGTATAGAATCATCAAGGAGCCCTGGTGGTGCAGTGGTTAAGCACTCAGCCGTTAACCGAAAGGTTGGTGGTTTGAACCCACTAGTCACTTCACAGGAGAAAGATATGGCAGTCTGCTTCCGTAAAGATTACAGCTTGGAAACCCTATGGGGCAGTTCTACTCTGTCATATAACCTTGCTGTGAGTCACAATCGACTCTAGGCAATGGGTATGGAATCATCCACTAGTAAACCAGTTGCCTTCAAGTCAACTCCAACTCATGGTGACCCCATGTGCGTCAGAGTAGAACTGTGCTCTATAGGGTTTTCAATGGTTGTGATCTTTCTGAAGTAGATTGCCAGGCCTTTCTTCCAAGGCATCTCTGGGTGGACTGGAACCAATAACCTTTTGGTTAACAACTGAGCATGTTAACTGTTTGTAAAACCCCCCAAGGACACCAGAAGCTCCTACGAGGCATCCCAAACCCCCAAAGCTGGGAACTGATGCTCTCAGTAAGAGGCTCCCAGAATATATTTGAATTGCACACATCCAAGTGTGAAAGCTGTCACTTTGATCACATCTACCACTAGGTGGCTGGGGAAGGGCCTTATCAAAGTTCCTCTGCTTCTTGTCCAGGGTGGTACAGGTTGTGTGGGCCTGCTCCGAGTCAAGCATCAGGTCATCCACTTCTCCCTGGAGCCTCTGCTATGTTTTCTCCAAGGAAGCACACTTGGAGTTCACCGCCTCCATGTTCTCCTCCGCCTCCTGGAGCCTCTGTGCCAGTTTTTTTCCTAAAGAACCAAATTTTTTTTTCCCCCAAAGGGAAATTATTTCAGAGGGTCTAAGGAAACTGTCACATAGAATGTAAACGAACAGCTATAAGGAATTGTCATTTGATAAGATCTAGAATGTGATGAATGAAGAGGACCTAAGTATCATCTGAAGAATCCCAAAAGGAAGGTTTGGTGTCAAAGCAGGTCATCAAGGAGCCACCAAGGGAATGAATAGTTCCCCAGGGCAAGGACAGGGAGACCCTGGAAGGCTGAGGCACTGTCTCAATATTTAAGAAAACACTAAGACCTGGAGAGAAAGAGAGTTTCTCTAAGGTGGGAACAATTCCTGTCCCTTTGCTTGTGTCCTGGGGTCACCTTCCCTACTGTAACCTCGGAGCCCATACTTGGCCTCCTCCAGCTCCTCTGCATGCTGGATAGCGTCTGTCTCGTATTTGGTCCTCCACTGGGCAACCTGAGAGTTGGCCTTGGACAGCGCCGTCTGCATCTCAGCCTTGGATTCCTGGTCCTCCTCGTACTGTTCCCGGAGCAGGTCACAGTCATGGCGTGTGGACTGCAGGGCGTGGGCCAGGGCGCTCTTGGCCTGGAAATCATGGTGGTGACAAAGTGGCAGAAACATGTGACCATTTTTCAAGTTAAAGTATTTTCATTTAAACTGGCTTTTCCCCAGCTCGAAATCATTCACACGTTGCCTTCACAGATGCCGCTGAATCGGTGTCTCGCCTGTTTATTTACTCAATATTTTCTTTAGGGTGACTCCTTCGTTATATTTAAATATATTTATTGAAAAAATAAACTATTACATTACATTATCATTTGCCAAAAAGAGGAGGCAACCGTGAGGATAAATTCAATGGAAATAAAGAAATGTTACCAACTTCTCCACCACCTATCTGTCAGTTTGCTGTACTGTGGTGGCTTGCAAGTTGCTATGATGCTGGAAGCTATGCCACTGGTGTTTCAAACACCAGCAGGGTCAACCTTGATGGACAGGTTTCAAGAGAGCTTCCAAACTAAGATATACTAGGAAGAAAAGCCTAGCAATCTACTTTGAAAATCAGCCAATGAAAGCCTATGAGTCACAGAGTATTGGCTAATATAAAGCTGGAAATGAGCCCCTAGGTTGGAAGGACTCAAACATACCAATGATCGTGAAGATGATGCAGGACTGGACAATGTTTTGTTCTGTCGTACGTAAGGTTGCCGTGAGTCAGAGCCAACTTGACAGCAACTAACAACAACAACAAATCAACTTCTAGCTCAGTACTGTTGCTTGCTGGGGCTCTGTGCCTGAGGCCTACTCTCTGCAGTATTTCTTTTCTTTCTTTTTTTTAAATGTTTTTTTGGTTATTATTTTTATTTTTTCTATTTCTTAAAAAGGTAAGTAAGCGAATGTTAAGGAGGTGTTATCTATATGGAGACCTTTACCTCGGTGTGATCAGAAGGATAGAACAGAAGTAAATCTCACTATCTGATGAAAAGAAATCCTGGTGGTGTAGTGGTTAAGAGCTTGGCTGCTAACCAAAAGGTTGGCGGTTCGAATCCACCAGGCACTCCTTAGAAACCCTATGGGGCAGTTCTACTCTGTCCTATAGGAATTGGAATCGACTCGACAGCAATGGGTTTTTTCAAGTTATTTGATGAAACATTATGGAATGCTATGACTGTGAAAAACCTAAGAGCATCTTTGGTGCCATCAGTGGGCTGTGTCCTCCCACCGGGCACCATCTGCTCTTCCCAAGCAGGAAAGGACATGCCCAGAGGTTTGCTTCCTCACCCCTACCTGGACAGAAGGACAGTTTAGGTCCAAACTAACAGTCACAAAACACCCTCTGGTGCCACCATCAAAGAAAGAGTCCTGTCGACCCAGTACAGTAATTAGTACATTTTCATCCTAGTAAAAACACAAATAAACAGCAAACCTATCTGAAGGAAAATTTAGCTGTTACTCTGCCCCCACTAGGGAACAATTTCTCTGCTGTAGTGATCTTCTCATAACTTGATCAGGTTCTAGTTCTCACCACACCCACCCTACGAAGCCTGCCAAAGACCATACCATATAATTGAAAGATGGATGAGGGACAAATATAGCCTTTGTTCCTTTCTACAAGAGGCAGATGGAGCTTGGGGAATTCCAAAAGGTTGCCTTATACGTCTTGGCCAGTGCATGGCAATCTCAGAATCACATTTATGCCGTCTTGTAGACTCCTGGATGCCTATCTGAATGCTTGGACACACATTAGCAGCATTAACTGAGCACTTGCTGTGTGCACTGTTCTAGCTACTATCCACCAAAACCAAATCCACTGCTGTCAAGTCAATTCCAACTCATAGTGACCCCACTGGGTTTCCAAGGCTGTAAATCTCTATGGAAGCAGACTGCCACACCTTTCTCCTGCGGAGCCAAAGGTGGTTTTGAACCACTGACCTTTCGGTTAGCAGTCGATCGCTTTAACCATTATGCCACCAGGACTCCTTTCTAGCTATTACGGTGGGGAAAAATTATTTTGCCCTCTAGGAGTTTACAGATCACTGGGGAGACATGTATTATAAACGTAATTATCGGCATATTGAAGTCAAGAGCATGATAATGATGTTCATGTTTATGTAAATGTCCTAAGAATGCCCCTGAAAATCATGTAGATGTTTTGGAGAAGGGGAGATTAAAATTGGGTGTTTAGACCTAGTGGCATAGTGGTTAAGAGCTTGGCTGCTAACCAAAAGGTCAGCAGTTCAAATCCACCAGTCGCCCCTTGGAAACCCTATGGGGCAGTTCTACTCTGTCCTATAGGGTCACTATGAGTCGGAATCAACTCGACGGCAATTTTTTTTTTTTTTTTTAAACAGGTGATACATGAAGAGTGATGAAGGAGAAACAGGCCATTTCAGGTGGCTAGGAGGAATTGCTGGACAGAGTAAAAGAATACGTGGAGGCAGGGATGGTCTAGATAGTGCCGTGATGGGGGAGTGGAGGCCTTAGCTGGAGAGGAGAGTTTATCAGACTACCCTGTGGGGGACAGAAATACCCAGAGGATAGAGACCCTGGTAGAGTTTTCCAGCTCTGACAAAAGAGATCCAATACCAAGGTCCTCTAGCCTCAGACAATAGGCTCCTACCACACTATAGGGCAGAGAGGAGAAGCATCAGGCTTCCTGATGCAGCGCTGCATCCAGTCAACTTGGTGAGGGACGAGGTCGTACTGCCTGTTTTTTCAGGTTCTATCTGACTCCACTTCCTGTCTGTCAGCTAGTCAGACTGTGGTGACTTGCGTGTTGATATGATGCTGGAAGCTATGCCACTGGCATTTTAAATACCAGCAGGGTCACCATGGTGAAGAGGTTCCAGTGGAGCTTCCAGACTAAAACAGACTAGGGAGAAATGCTGGTGAGCTACTTCCAAAAAATTGGCCAATAAATACCTTATGGATTACAACAGAATATTTTCTGATATAGTGCTGGAAGATGAGCCCCCTAGGTTGGAAGGTACTCGAAATACACAGTGTCCGCAACCACGGGTGCGAGTATACCAACGATTGCAAAGATGGTGCAGGACTGGACCGCGTTCTGTTGTGCATGGGGTTGTCATGAGTCGGAGATGACTCGACGGCAACTAACAGTAACAACATCTGATGCTGCCATTCCACAGGAGAGGCATCCTTACCTTGGTTTCTTCTTCCAGTTGCCTCTTAAGCTCCTCCAGCTGCTGGGCAAGGACCTGCTTGCCTTTGGTTAGCTGTGAAATCGGAGACTCCTTCTCTTCCACTTGGTGGCTCAGCTCCCCTAACAAGAAGATGTGCCCCGGCATCAGCGCCACTGGGCTCCCCTGTCCCTGGACACCCACTGGACCACAGAGCCCCAGCCCGACCACAGATCCCTGCCCCACCACAGAGCCCAGCCCGACCACAGAACCCCGGCCCGACCACAGAGCCCCAGCCCGACCACAGATCCCTGCCCCACCACAGAGCCCCATCCCGACCACAGAGCCCCAGCCCGACCACAGAGCCCAGCCCGACCACAGAACCCCACCCCGACCACAGAGCCCCAGCCCGACCACAGAGCCCCAGCCCGACCACAGAGCCCAGCCCGACCACAGAACCCCAGCCTGACCACAGATCCCTGCCCCACCACAGAACCCCACCCCGACTACAGAGCCCCAGCCCGACCACAGAGCCCCAGCCCGACCACAGAGCCCCACCCCGACCACAGAGCCCTGCCCCACCACAGAGCCCCACCCCC